TTTATTGAAGAAACTGAGAAGCATATCATAGATCAAACAAAAAGCAAAAAATACTTAGTTTTGTGGAAAATATGTTCAAAAAGCATGAAAAATAAATTCCAGCATTTTGCTTCATAAGCACTACAAAAATTTTCTAAATCAATTTTTTTTTAAATTTTAATTGTTGAACAAGTCTCTAGCAATAATTTGGCTTTAACAGATTGAAAAAATATCAATTAGTCGACGAGTTATAGCCAAAAAACCATATAAACAATATGCTGAAAATCGGCATTTGACTGTAAAGTTCGAAGGTCGATTAAAAAAAAAATCGAACTAACATAAACAAACGCCGCGATACGGGTCTTCTAATTTAGCCTCTATTTTCACCCCTCACTCTCAGAAACGACCTAACTTTTGCTAACCTGAATTTGTTCCACAGTGTAATTTGTCAGCGACTGACATGCCAGCACTAGTTTTTGTACGTACAGCAACGATACACAATTCAAGGGGCTACCCCTATTCGGTATCATCCCAACGTTCATTGACGCACTACTCGCCACTCCAGAGCCCACTAATTCCACCAGTAGCTACACAAAAAATCTCTTAAATGGATGGCATAAATAGCAAATAACACATGACGGTGATGCCCATTTTCTGTAAATAGTACCAAATAAATTAAAAATAATAAAATTCTAAAGGGAATATATAAAAAATCCCTTAATATTTCATTTAGCAACGCTGTTCTATACGAATACAACGTAATCGACGTAAAGTCTACATGAAGGCGATCGTTCGACTTACAAAATTGTAAGCGGAGACGAATTCGCCTGCAGACGAGTCGTTCGTGTCCCCTATCGCTTGAGATACATGATGAGGCTGTAAGTGTACTATCAATACTAAAAATCTTTTAAATGCTTCAGATATCCTTTTATACTTAAATTCGAGTAGGTTGGAGTAGGTAAAAAACACAGACTGCTGCTGGAAAACCAATAACTACCTGATAAGTGAGTAAAATAATAATGAGGCATTTCAAATAAATTTGAAAACGCGCAAAAAAGTAACAGCACTCGGTTGTGAAAGGTGAAAAAAATGATTATACATTTGTACATATACATTATGCGCCTCATAATATATCTGTGTTCGTATGGAAAAGTAGCTTATGTCGAAAGGCTGGCTTTAGTATAAATCGGCATTCGCAGTATACGATTGCGAATGACTCACTGGCGCTGAGCTGTTGTAGAACTTTTGGCAAATAAACGTGCAAGAACTAGTTCCGATACTAGCAAGTCAATATTCTTATTAAGTCTCATCAAAAAATTCCTTGCCGTTTAAAGAGTAAAGGGAATGCCGCATTATACTAAAGCCAGCCTTTCGACATAAGCTACTTTTCCATATGAACACAGATATATTGAACATATGTATGTATTAGGGATGTTAATTTTTCGGCTTTTTCCGATCCCGAGATTTTCGGGATGGCGTTGTCACAATCCCAGGATTAAGATATTCATTACTTTTCAACAACTTGATTCGAAAAAATTGCTTCTATATTGTTTGAGAAGCTCTCCTACCATGAAATAAATAAATGGGTTTGAAACCATGGCACAATAATTACAGGTATTGTCTTCCCAGAGAGCGCATATTCCGATCTGCCTTATTTGAAAAATATCATTCTTACCCACACTAAAACGTTTACTGTTGGAAATATCCCTTTTTCCATACCCCATATACCATACAAGTATGTTTACGCATTTTTTTTTAACAAACCATTTTACAGAGAACTTATTCAATTTGCAAAAGCCGGAAAAAAAGCATTTGCTTGTAAATAAATTCAAAATTTGTATGGCTCACCTACTTTCGAACGTTGTTCCTGTTGTTTTGAAAAATTATAAAAACTAAATTGAGCGAAAACAAAAAGCAAATCCAAATAAAAGTAAAAAAAATTGAATGCAATACAGAATAAAAATATGGGTAACAAATGCAATATGAAATTTCTTTAGTATTTAAATTCTTTGGATTCACCAGGACGAATAGATAATTTTTAAGCTGACCAAGTTAGAAGGATATTGCGAAATTTCAAGAATAAATATTAAAATCACATTTTCAATATTTACCAGCCCTTCTGCGCCAAAAACTTGAATATGTTTAAATTCTATAGGATTTCCTCATTTATTTTATACCCATACTTCTTCTCTAAGCACATTTCTCTGAATTTTTAAATCATTTTTGAATTACTGACGTCAGAGTGAAAAACTAAAAACGCAATTTTACTATATTTGGCCCATGGTTTCGCGAATATTTTGATATATGTGTTTAAAATTTACGATCGCGCGGTGTTATATGTACAATGAGCGAGACATTTATAAAAAAATATTGATTATTAAATAAAAAAGAAATATGGCCAATACTGGTCAAGAAAAGGATTTTCTATTATTGCCATCAGTGCAAATTACAAATCCCGAAAATCCCGGGTTTACTTGCCAAGAATCCCGGGATTTTCGAGATGTATGTATGTGCATTAAACATATTCAAACATAATTTTAAGTGAGACATTTAAGTCAACGTCATTGAACGATTGATCATATGTACATAATATTTTAGAGATTTGGCTTTGGCTGCACTTAAATGCATATGTATGTATAGGGCTATTATCACTTTCTGAAAATACCCTTATAACAAAGAGCTCGCGTTTTTTATCCGATTTCAAAAATTTTACGCCTATTTTATAACGAAGCCAAAAAACAATACACGTATCAAGCATGATACATTTTATAATACGTATTTGTGACAACGCCAATTTTCCTAGGCGTTTATATTTGATTTTTCCTAAAATACTATTTATATACCAGTTAGAAGCGAATTAGCTGGAGTTTTACTTGAAAAATATAAAAAAATTCAAATTAAGTTCTACCGAATTTGAAGGGCTTTGGTAAATACTAATACTAACAGTATTTCATTATAAGAGAGATTGTGCTGTTATTTTTGGTAGCAATCTTGGTTCATATACCAATTTTCAACAATTTGTGTCCAGTATTTACAGAAATGTAGAAGTTTTTGCATTTTTTCAAGAAATATCGTTATATGATAATTGAGAGTGATTTTGATCCGATTTCCCCCGTTTTCACTACTAACTTCCCTTGATTAATGTGTAACTCACGTACACAATTTTTGTTCGAGTTATCGTGTACACCCTGCAAACCATTTTTTCAGAGTATTCTGCATTGTAAAGAAATTTTAAAGAATTCGTTAAGATTTAATTCTATTTTTTGCCGAATTTTCTAAAATGAAATAAATTACGCACACTTCCATTCTTTACGAAATTTCGGAAGAAATTCTGTGAAGCAATGAAAATAATGCTGCTATGTGAAGAATATCTTTCAGAATTTTTCCAGAATTTTCTTTATTTTTCGTACAGAAATTTCTTTACGAGTTCGTGTCAACCACGGGCGCCACGCCCATTTCACATACATCAATAAAATTGTGTCTTGATAAGAGATTGTTGTAAGTTGGCGTGTTTAGTTATTGAAATATCGGAATTTTCGTATTTCTGAAATTTACCGTTATATGGTAGGTGGCGGTAATTTTAGTCCGATTTCAAAAATGTTCAATATATCGATTTTTTGGGCCAAGATTGATAAATGTATCGAGTTTGGTAGAAATTGATAAACCGGTTACCGAGACACACATATGTACGCGTAAGTGGGCGGTGCCACGCCCATTTCCCCAAAAATTTCCCTAAGCAGAATTGTTTGCTGAGAGGTCATTGTTTATATCGATTTTGAGTAAATTAGCTTAAATAGTTACTAATTTATCGCAGTCTTCCTATTTCTGTAAATTACCGTTATATGGGCGGTGGGCGTGGTTCGTGTCTGATTTCAAACATTTTTTTTCACCAATGTTCGTACCGAGCTTGGTGAAGATTGGAGAAGGGACAAGGGAATTTTGAATAAAAGCGAAACGCGTCCATCGATTTTCTTGATCTATGTCTCATTTTGCTTAAAGGTTATGTGACTTTGCGTGAAAGTAATACGACTTGCCTTTTTTCCGTTTTGGATTTTTTATGAATTTAAAAAATAAAAAAATTTAATATTTTAGGCAAAAAATATTTTTTTTCTTCATACATCTATTTTTACCGGCAAAACTGTTGATTATATAGAAAAACGTTATATGAACAGATTAAAGGAATTGTAATTTTTAATTTTTTTTAATTTGTTTGAGCCAAATCGGACTAATGGTTCTCGAGTTATGTCAAAAAAAAGACCACAAAATGTGACAATTTCCCCTATATGTAGTTACTAACTTCAAATCGATATATCTCGATTCCTAGACGTGACCCAGCGAAACGCCGGGCCACGTATAACTTGTTTTTGACCGATATAACATTTCCCGTTGGTTTCATCCCATCCCGATTTTGACTGTTGCATAGTGTTATATATAGATAAGTCCCTTTTCTTGTAATAGGTAATCTCGCGAACGGCTGGTCCGATTTTCATGAAATTTTGTATATAAATAGCTTTCAGCAACGAACTTGTACCGATCTATTCGAAAAAATCGTACTATGGTCCGATTTGCTTAAAAGTTGGTGCGTAGGTGGCTTTTTGCCTACATTAGCATATAGGATCCTTTTTTCTGGCAATTGGACCAGAGACCGATCTATTTGAAAAAATCGTATTTATGGTCCAATTTGCTTAAAGGTAGGTACGTAGATAGATTTTGCTTCACCCTAGGCATACGCTAGCAGACCCGGCGAACTACACAACTGATTGTTGACGGACGGACTTTAGTCAGGCATAGGGGGCATCACCAGGTGAAGTGGTTGGGAGACTCCACCTGGCTGGTTCTTCTTCTTCTCTTCTCTTCTCTTTTTAGTTAGGCAGGTGCATATGACCCTCCCACCGAAGAGTCAGGCCAGGGTACGCTAGCATGCCTGCATGCCACTTCGCCCGACATCGAAAATACCGTTACATAACATAATTTGAAATAACCGTACAAACAACGAAATAATTGAATTTGCTTAAACTTACTGCGTAGGTTAAATCAAAATTGTGGTATATATTTTCTCCATATTGAGCTCGAAATTGATGCAATGTGCGGTCCAGCGAAAACGCTTCCTTGGACTTGTTAAGCGCGTCTGTTAAAGCTGTCTTTAATTCTGTGGAACCCGTTTTGACATTGGAATTTATCGCTGAATTTATTGTGGACGTTCGTGCTGACAATTGAATAGATTGCTCGAGCAGCTTCACGATTTTCATCTCTAGAGTTTTAAACTTTATTTGAGGGCTATCAGAACATTCATCATTCATTGAAATGCCCTGGCTTTTAATTAACTCCATATTATGCTTACTTGACTTCCTTTTCTGCATCCCAATTTGCGTTCGCAGATGACAGTGCCTGCTGTTTAGCCTTTTCTGAAAATAGTTGATCAAAACGTTGTCCGGCCGATCCTGTTGAATTAGGTACGTAACCAATGCCGCGGACAGCAGTAGATGGACGTGTTGTCGCAGGTCTGTCACTTCCTGCACGGCTGCTGATCAAATTACCACGCTATAAGAAAAAAATTATGGACAAACGGAATTTATTCATATACAACAAAGAGGGGTCTTTATACTTGTGTTTACAAGTCCAAATTTTACTAAGTTCTACAAAGAAATTGCAACTGTACATGGCGATTCTTTTCACTTGACGTTTATATTTGACACTATCAATTCTCACTTCGTTTTTGGCGCCAGGCCAACGTCTGACAAAGTTTTGAGCAGTCTAATAAGAGTAAGTATTTACTAATATACAATAAGATGTTGTTTAGGCCACTAGTCTAAACCAAACTTTAAAAAAGATGAGCCACCCTAACACGGAAGTGTACATACTTACACATATATGGGAACGCATGCGAACATGCACATATAGTCTGCCGCATCACGATTTCCCGCCAATTATATATATAAACTAGCCCAATTTCCCCTCAATACAGTTCGTTGTTTGAGGGTTCGGCTAAACTTTTTATAAAATAACGCAAGCATCCCAGTTTTAACTTTAACAGGTACGGTCGCTTATCAGCCACCACTAGGGATGTTAATTTTTCAGCTTTTTATGATCCCGGGATTTTCGGGATGTCGTTATCAAAATCAGGGATGCCGTTTGGATCTAAATAGATCCAATTGGATACATTTTTAGACCAATTTTTGTGGGATATTTATTTTTTCCGGTCAGTATAAAAGTGGATACTTTTTTAAATAGGCCAAAATTTTATATTTCCTATAAAGTTTTTTTCGTTCAAAAATCGATTTTCATTAAAGATGGTAGAAAGCATTACGTTCTCTAAACGTATAAAGAATCGCTACTTAAGCGTGAAATTAAAGCATTTTATTTTTTGTGAACGAAGCAATGAACATATGAAGAGATCTCACCAAAATAGGTATAAGCGCAATTGCTTTAATTAGCTTAAAAGGATGCTTTAAGCAAGATCTTAATATAATACATACATATCGTCGTTTAAAGTACAAAACCGCAACAAAATATAAAACCGCGTATCAAGATAATGCAAAACCGCGTATGTGACGTTGCATAAATTATTTTCTAGAGAGTAAAAACACTTATATTTCAATATGGTTCTCTTTTTTATAAAGCAATCGCATTTCTGGCTAGTATATTTCAGGACGAAACCAAGAGCTTGTGTGAGCAAATCCAATTTTTGGCAGCAAATGTCAGTTACGCGGTTTTGCAGAATGACGATACGCGGTTTTGTACTTTAAACGACGATATATGTAAAGTAAATTATACTCTTTTTGTAGTAATCTCTTTCATATCACATATTTTCATTTCTGAATTTAAAAATAAAGAAGATTTCAATGTAGTTTAAAAAACTAAATTTGATTTATTTAAGGAAACTTTTATGAATTTTACTGAAAAGACTTTAAATACACTCTAAAAATCTTTGTTTATTTCGCTTATTGAGATAGGTAACCAGTTTCCTCTTTTAATGTATGCAAATGTGCAAGCAGCGTAATAAAATTGCCTGTTTACTTTTACACATAAAATGTTTAAAATAAAGTAATGTTTGTTATTAGTAGTAAATGTATTTGTAGTTCGAAAATTTTTGCAATTTTAAACATTCTACATATGTATGTGTATTTATGTGTATATTTTAAAGATCTCAAGTTCAAAATCAAATACTGAACATCTTATACGCATATTTATACAGATGCTTGTTGAAAAATAGATACTTTTCAGTAGTAGTTTTACTCAAGTAGCACACTGGTGTATAAATTGGTGTACATTTATGAATTGTGGTATAAATATGATTAATTGTACCGAAATTCACTAATTTACACCAAGTTATACACCAATGTGCTACTTGAGTACATGCTCTTTTTAGAGTGTACTTGCTATTTATTATATTTACTCTGCAAAATACTTATGCACAAAAAATGTACTTTATAAATAGAAATTACAAATGTTTGATTTTATGCACATGTATTCCAAGTCCTTAGCATGGGTTAAATTATGTCTTTTTCATGAAAATGTTTGGTTTTCTTACAAGTTATGAGATGTATATGTAAAAAAAAGAAAAATGTACTTTATAAATTGAAATTACAAATGTTTGATTTTATGCACATGTATTCCAAGTCCTTAGCATGGGTTAAATTATGTCTTTTTCATGAAAATGTTTGGTTTTCTTACAAGTTATGAGATGTATATGTAAAACAAGTAAGAAAGCCTAAGTTCGGGCGGAGCCGAACATTAAATACCCGGCGCAAGTATTAAATATATGTTTTTTCACCTTTCCGAAACCTTCCGCTAGATGGTAAGCCGGGGTGTATCAATTTTGAGTAAATTGGCGTCCTTCAATTTCGAAATATTGAAGTTCCAAGCATTTCTGAAATTTACCGTTATATGAGAAGCGGCCGTTATTTTAGTCCGATTTCAATAATTTTCAACGTTTTGCTTATATGTGGCAATCAGAATAACCACACCGAGTTTGGTACAAATTGGTAGAATGGTTACCGATATACTTATATGTGATCATAAGTGGGCGGTGCCACGCCCATTTTCCAAAAATTTACCATAAACGTATTTCTTGGTAAAGAATTGTTGCAACCATCAATTTTGAATAAATTAGCTTCAATATTTACTGATTATCGAAGATTTTGTATTTCTCTAAATTACCGTTATATGGGATGTGGGCGTGGTTATTGTCCGATTTTAAAAAGTTTCGGCGATTTTTTATGCTGTACCAAGGCCAACAACTGTGCCAAGTTTCGAAGAAATTGGTGCAGCGGTTACCAAGATATACACATGTAACCATAAGTGGGCGTGGCTACGCCCATTTTCCAAAAATTTATAATATTCTTATTTTTTGTCTAAAAATTATTGTAAATATCAATTTTGAGTGAATTATCTTCCGTAGTTACTGAAATATCGCAGATTTCGTATTTCTGGAAATTACCGTTATATGGGAAGTGGGCGTGGTTAAAGTCCGATTTCGCCCATTTTCAATACCAACCTACCTTGGATAAATGGAAACCTACATACCAAATTTCGTTGAGATATCTCAATTTTTGCTCGAGTTATCATGTACACGAACGGACGGACGGACAGACGGACAGACGGACAGACGGTCGGACAGACAGACATGGCTTAATCGATTTATTTTTTCATCCTCATCATTTATGTATACATTTGTCTATATCTATCTCGATTCGTTTTGGCTGTTACAAACAACCGTTATGTGAACAAAATTAATATACCCTTGTGCACAAGTGCGCTCGGGTATAAAAAGAAATTTGGATACATTTTTGGCTTGGTCAGTGATACATTTTCTTGAGACGGCGCGGCAACACTGATCACAATCCCGGGATTAGTCCCGGGATTTAGATAGTCATTTCTTTTCAACAACTAAAATCGAAATAATTGCTTCTATATTGTTTCAGAAGCTCTCCTACTATAAAATAAATAATACATAAATGTTTTTGAGACCTCCTTTTACGAAGCTTTTATCAACTTGCAATGTTGTATATTCAGACCAGCATTAACAGCAAAGTTATTTATGGCAAAGTGTCTATATAACCTAGTCTAGATATCAACCTCGTCGTAGGTATCATGTCAAAGAGAAACAAGCAGAAGACTCTAGAGTTAGATGACGCCTCGCCAGAAGTTAAATATTGCGCCTAAAAATATGCACTGCATACGCTACAGCGGAAATGGAGGACACGCCATTTATTTAAATGAAATAAATTGCTGCGATATGTATGTATGTACATATGTATGTATATACTAAACGTGAGCACAAAACATTTAGCTTGCATAGTCTTCTGTTCTCTTTTCACTGCAAGTTGAATTATCTTAATATCTATTGCATAATTTTATACTAAAAAGTAGAAAATAAATAAAATAAAATAAAAGCTTTTGAATGTGCCACGCTTTTATAAATGAACTGAAAATTATAAAATAAAATTTCCCAGTCATAGAATTGGTCTTGGTAACTTTTGATTTTGAAATTTTAGCAATAGTCATTATAAATAAATTATGAGATTGAAAATGAAAAGCGTGGGGCGCATGTAATAGACCTGAATCGATATGAAGATTAATATATGTATGCAAGGCCGTCAGATCACCTACAACCACAAAATACAGCTTTCGCACGGGCGTTTGTTTGGTCTTTCAACTTTACTTTGCATTTGGCACAGCAAACTTCAATTTATTCGTAAACCATAGAAAATTTTTCCCCGTCTCTCCACGGAGAAAAACGTTACCGATTGGCACACAGCAATAGCCGTGGATTTTAACTAAATTACCCCAGTAAAAAAATATATGTGCAATACTTCAACTTCAATTAGCTAAATGAAAACCCAATACTAGATCTTTGATGTTTTTTTCCAATAATTGTATTCATTTACTTTATCCAAAGAATATAAAAATCTTCATAAATACATATGCAATAGTTTATAACCAGATAATTTAATTGTACCATTATGTTGAAATTTTCGTAGAAAATATTTATATGTGCAAAAAAGTGTTAGGCCACCGACTATTTTAAAAAATGTTTTAAAGGTAATTTTATTTGTTGGTATGGGATTGTATTTCTATTGCACACCTTTGCTTATTTTAAGGTTTTCGGCATATATTTTACCGAATTTTTGTACTAAAATTTATATTATTTCCGTCTATTTGTGAAGTTTGGTTTACTCGAGTTTAAACACGTTATCATTCTGTTTTGAATAAGTAAAAATCTTATTGAGAAGTACATCCTACAAATTCCCAGTGGTATTTGAAGCTATTTACTCTAAAAGAATGTATTTTGTTCCTTGAGTAACGGTTTTGTTGTTCGCACAGTATGAATAGCAACGTTTTACCGCTGGAATTTTCAAATATCTTCGGTCGAAATGAACGAAACATTTGCCAACTTAATGCGCAAAGAATGTTTCTACTTCAGGATATTTATTTTTGCCATACTGAAAAGATTTTATTTGTTTTCCAAAGCTAAATGCTTTTTGTATGTTGCCGACTGGCTCTCCAAGTTGTGGTGGGCATCTGGATCAACTATATTG